TCCTCCCCCTCCCCCAAATCTTTGAGGTTTTCCTCGTGTAGAAGAATTTTCAAATCTTTAAGGTGGAACTCCATGTACATATTTTTTTAAAACTTTGTCAAAAGTCGCGTCTTATCCTGCTAATCAAAATGTGATAATACCTTGCCATATAGCTAATGTCATTATTGTGTAGACATATCAAAATTACTGATGTAAGTTTATTTGTGAATGCTTCACGGTCTCGAACACTGTCACTAAACAATAAATAGCCAATAGTCACTAAACAGTCTCTGTCTCTGGCGAGGATCCATACCGGTTTCCAACGTTTTGCGGAAAACGGTGAGATTTTTCAGAATGACTCAAAAACCCAGGAAAGGAGACTTTAAGGATTTTAAATCCAAACGATTTCATGGGGGAGCATGCCCTCGGATCCCTCCAGAAGCTTGCGCATTCCGCACTCGTTATTCCAAAAATCGGTCACCACTTCACCTAAATACGCACCTGGTTGTTGTTCATTGCGTAAACAGAGAGCAAATGAGAAAAAAAGACAATATTTAGAGACTTAGAAAAAACCAATGAAGAGTTTTATAGTCATTCAAGTCACAAAGGGGATCTATTGTTCCGGCTGTTCTTAAACCCTCGTCCACACTACGAAAACGGAGGTTTCACTCTGAAAACGCGCATCAAATGTTTTCCGTGCACTCTACCCCGGAGGAATTTCTAAACCCAACAATCAACTGGTTGGATTTGTGTTTGAAAAAGCCTGGGCAGGGAAATCACATGATTCTCGTGACGTCATCGTTTTCAAAAAGTTCCGTTTTCAAAATGTTTTCCGTCCACACGAAAACGAGAAGCCGGCGTTTTCAAATTCTTCGGGTTTGAAGAACGGTTTCGAAAAGCTCCGTTTTCGTGACGGATTGGTGTGGACGGTAGGCCTAAGAGAAAGACAGCTGTCGAGACAGCTGTGTATGGAGTTATACAGAAATCTTGGCTGTACTAGTACTACAGTGTCTCCTTTCATCGTCAGTTTTAATGTAGAAAGGTTGCTGTTTCTGCACCGACAAATGCAACAAGAAGCAACGAAGGTGTTCGTAAAGTGAACTTGTGATGAATAATAATCAGTAAGAAAAAATTTGCATTGTAAATTTGTAACCACGATCATTTTCGCACTTTCGCAATTTTTCTAATCTTCTAATTTGCTTTGAGGCGGACTGACGATCTTGAAATCTTTTACTAAGTCGCCAGCCAGAATGAAGAGAAAACATAATGGTTACGTCGTAATGGTTAGTTCCTTGGAAGAATGGTGGTGCCCCACCGATATAAGATGGGGTGGTTGGTGTTCCTTGTTCTACTGATAGCAAGGGATTAAGTTCAAGACATCGAAAACCTGCCGTAGGGGAGAGAGTCCCTTTCCACTTCTGCAACATTGGCGCAACAATTTTAACGTGTGCCCACTTTCTGCAACACTACACACAACAATACTCATGTAATCGTACTTTTTTATTATTACTACTCTCTCATCTTTTGTAGAGTATGGCCTACTTTACCTAACAAAACGTAATTCAGAAAATCTAAACAAGGAATTAAGTATCTCCCACCCCCCCCACATTCCTAATCCCACTACACCCCCTCCCTCCTTGAGCGGGACGGGTTGACTCATTACTCAAACTTGAAGTATAATTTCTCTCCACTGTTTGCAATACTCGTCCATCATTGTTTTGTTTAGAATTTCTTCGTACAATATTTCTACTTGATGGGTTTCTATATTATTATCACCTAACTTGAGATTGTATAATCTTGTCTTCTTGTTTGGAGAAATTGAACGGTCTTGTGAAAACCTCAATGGATTTCCGATTTGTGGATAATGATTTGTAATATTTAATATTCACTGATGTGGTATAAAATTTACTGAGTCACTAACTAAAGATCAAGACTGCGCGTTGAATATCTTCCGCTATCCACCGACGCATAGGTTGTTAACTATTTCAGTAAATTAAGCTTTAAAGAGAAAGGCTGTCCTAAGGGTACCTCACAATACCTAACTGCATTTATTACTAATAGCAGTTTATCGTTGCTTAATAAGTCGAAGTTGACTGTGTACAATCGCGAAGGATGGAAAACTACAGATACACGTACGTCAGCGTGCACTTTCACCCTTTCATAGGATAACCTTTCTCGAGACAGCTCCAGATCAAACTTATGATATCGCCGTTAAACCAAACTATTCTGTTACCAAATACGAAATGTTCTGTTGCGAAATTCTTCGCGCGCGATTTGCAAACCAGTGCAATGTAAGCCGTGCGAAAAAAAGAACAACAAACCTCTACCCACCGCCTTGTTTAAGAGCTGTTGCAGTTCCATGCCTGCTAAGCCCTGTCTTAGTTCAAAATTCTCTTATACCTAGTCTGGCCAATCAGAACAAACATATTGTCTTTTTTAGCCAATAAGGAACAAACTAAATCCACCCGTGACTGTTTTCGCGAATTTTCCCGCGCTTTTCACAGGCTGCAAGGTTTTCCACGTGTGTATTTGACCCATGACAATTCGAGTGTGATGTGATTACAGTGACTTTGGATTTACAAAAGTCGTTAGAAAAGACCGTTCTGTACTAAACGTAGCCTGCTATAAAGACGCTTTTTGAGCGCGTGACGAGCTGGAAAGCGTTTCCGTAGGCACTAAAGTACTATGGTGAATATATAAAAGTAATTTCACATTCTTAAACAAGAAAGCATTCAAATGCCTTGTGAACGTATGATAAGAAAATTCCTGTTCAATTCTGATTCATGTCTTACATTGCCAACCTAGAATCAAACCTATTTACCCTCCTTCCACATGCTTATTTCACGAGACTACTTTAATTTAAAATCAAATTGTGTCATCTGATATTCATAAAACAACTTTATAAAAAAGTGCATAGAGACCAACCCATTCGCTCGGACTTATGGATCAAGACTGACTTTTAACTTATCGTCTTGTCGCGCAGGGATATATTTAGTGTTATTTACTCTGGTATTGTGCTGTAGAGGTCCTCAAATGTCTGTTTAAAGTGTGTCTTAAGTGCTGGACGCTTGAACTTCAGTGTTGGTGTGAGAAGGCCATTTTCTACTGTGAATATCTCTGGTGTCAGAGAAATCGCCTTGACCTGAAACAAACAGAAAAAAAAAAACAAAAACAAAAACAAAAAAAAAAAGATTGAAAAAGCCGAGCGCGTTAGATCTTCCTCTCCAGACAACGCTCGCCTCACTCGTCTCTCAATTTTTTTCGCATTTCCAAATCCCTGGAAGCTCGTCACAATTACTCCTCTATGTGTCCTAACATGAACTCCCGCCTCACTGTTTTGCGAATGTGATGGAGCAANTTCGCGAATTTTCCCGCGCTTTTCACAGGCTGCAAGGTTTTCCACGTGTGTATTTGACCCATGACAATTCGAGTGTGATGTGATTACAGTGACTTTGGATTTACAAAAGTCGTTAGAAAAGACCGTTCTGTACTAAACGTAGCCTGCTATAAAGACGCTTTTTGAGCGCGTGACGAGCTGGAAAGCGTTTCCGTAGGCACTAAAGTACTATGGTGAATATATAAAAGTAATTTCACATTCTTAAACAAGAAAGCATTCAAATGCCTTGTGAACGTATGATAAGAAAATTCCTGTTCAATTCTGATTCATGTCTTACATTGCCAACCTAGAATCAAACCTATTTACCCTCCTTCCACATGCTTATTTCACGAGACTACTTTAATTTAAAATCAAATTGTGTCATCTGATATTCATAAAACAACTTTATAAAAAAGTGCATAGAGACCAACCCATTCGCTCGGACTTATGGATCAAGACTGACTTTTAACTTATCGTCTTGTCGCGCAGGGATATATTTAGTGTTATTTACTCTGGTATTGTGCTGTAGAGGTCCTCAAATGTCTGTTTAAAGTGTGTCTTAAGTGCTGGACGCTTGAACTTCAGTGTTGGTGTGAGAAGGCCATTTTCTACTGTGAATATCTCTGGTGTCAGAGAAATCGCCTTGACCTGAAACAAACAGAAAAAAAAAAACAAAAACAAAAACAAAAAAAAAAAGATTGAAAAAGCCGAGCGCGTTAGATCTTCCTCTCCAGACAACGCTCGCCTCACTCGTCTCTCAATTTTTTTCGCATTTCCAAATCCCTGGAAGCTCGTCACAATTACTCCTCTATGTGTCCTAACATGAACTCCCGCCTCACTGTTTTGCGAATGTGATGGAGCAATGTCACTCGTGCTGGATAATTAGAAAGAGTGCTCTCGACGAGATCATACGTCTTCTCTCTAGTTTTAATACCCGTGAGCGGCTCATCATGAGACATAAGTTCTTTTAATTCACATTGATCTACATCAGGTGACAACAATTGAGGAAGTGACTGCATAGCTTTTTTAACACTCTCGCAGGAGAAGAATTGAGTGTGCAGAAACGAAGGTATATTTAAAGTGAGACTAAGCTTTACCTGTTCAAATGACTTGAGCTGCTCTTTCTTACCCTCTGCGATCATCTGATCTAAAATGGCCTTATTTACTTTCTACAAATAAAATAAAAACCAAATATATCAGTAAGGCTGAATCTCATACAACTGTAAGTAAGAGCCTCTTTCCAGACTCGTTACAAAATGACGGATTGGCGGGACGTAACCCGTCAACAATGGATGATATTTCCCGCAGAAAAACACAGGTTGCCACCGAACAGTTTCCGCCAAAAAGACAGGTGAGTTAGCAGTCTGCTTGTTTCACGCCAAAAAAGACGCGCAGGTAGAGGATATTTCGCGCCGAAAAACACAGGTTGCCGCCGACCATTTACCGCCATAAACAAATGCACCTTAAAGTACCTCATTGGTGCACCATGAATCCATGTCTCCTTCGACGCCATTCTTATCCGCCCACTTCTGAACGGGATCCTTCTCTGGCACGACCACAGCTATCAGACAGGACTTGGGTAAAGAGAAAAATAAAGCTGTCAGGAAAGGCACGTAACAAAATAAAATACCAGTGGAAAGACGTGATGGGATATGTTAAACTTGGTAAAGGGATAAGAAAGTTATTAACCTGCCAGTGACACGAGCTACTGACTTCAGGCAAGGCAGGGCTAAGAACAAAACCATTGACTGATGAAACAGTTTCTGAGAATACCGCCATTTTACCATCTCTTCAGTTTTCCATCTCCCCATTCAGAAATCGAGCCTTTTGCTCCCCCTACTCCCAACACCGCTGATTAAAATTACGTCCCGCTGTCCCTGTAATTGGAGCAACATTGTGNACTCCCATAAGTGTTTAGATGAGGCTATGAACACGGAAAAGTACTCTATTGCTTTAATAAAATAATTCCCAAAAATACGCGCGAATCTAAAACGCAACAACCATGGTTACATACTCTGATCTAAACACACCTACCGACAAATGAAAGCGCGAGTAGTATCTTGGTTATTTCATAAAAACTAGTAGAAATGTTGAACTTTACCTGCGACAGTTTGAAGATATGTTTCTTTCGGTCTATCACCTTCAACGTGCCATTCTGAAACAACAGAGACAAAACTTCTTACAACAAGATTGACAGCTGCTTATAAGGGTTACGACAAAGTCGTTACATGTCTACAAATTTAGCTTGAAACTGTACAGTGGCAAAGCGACGTGTGGTTTAATTTAATATAGTCACGCAACGCTCTTACCTCAGAGACTTAACCCTCGCCGGGTCGAGAGTTAATTGTAACAAAACGTGTTTTTGGAAGGAAATGCTGGTCATAACACAAATGGAGGTCGTTGTAAGATGTGAGGATTAGCTTTTGGCAATTACACGCGTTCTAAATCTCGGACTTGAAGTTGTGTAAGCTCCCCAGCTTTTGTCGAAGTATTGTGAAAATGTTACCACCAAACTTTGCATGAATGTTTGGGAATTGTAAGCCCTGTGAAAGTACAGAGTTTGACAATGACACTCACTGGTTGCCATTCCCCCACGTCCCCCGAGTGAAGCCAGCCATCCTCGTCAATGCTTTCTTTCGTCTTCTCCTCGTCATACAGGTATCCCTTGAACACATTCGGCCCGTAAAAGCACACCTAGCACATGACATCAGAAAAGAGCCAATCAGAACAAGAGAGCTTGATTGTGAAAAAAAAAGAAGACTCAAAATTGTCATAAAAATAAAATCCTTCACGTGTGATTCAGTGATTTTCTCACCTCGCCTTTTCCGTCCTTGGCGTAATATTCCATCTCTGGAACGTCGACGAGTTTTATTTTGTTGCATGGCAACGGAGGACCCACGTGACCTATGATAAAAAAGAGGGCAAATAAAGGACTATAGTAGAACGGTTATCCAATCATGTGACCAGTCGGAATCTGGTTTCCGAAAATTGACTGAGGCGGCGGCATTTGGCCAAAGAATATAGCACAACCAACAGAACCACGCTAAGGGATCTTAGTCACCGCCATTTTGAGATACTTTGAGAGAAACTTGAAAATAGTAGTTTACTAAGGTAGAAAACACCAAAGAGATGATAGTAAACCAGAAAGGAACAAAGATGGTTAAAGATGGAGAAGATTAACAAGGCCGGATTAGAAACAACGAATATGAAACAGTTAGGCTTATCTTTTCGAGATGTCCAAACCGTGACGTAGCTTCTTAAATCTTTTCATGAAATCGAATCTCGTTGACTTTTTTGGAAGCCCCGCGAGAGTTGCAACGCAGGTCGCAACGACTCATAGTTTCAGCCAAGTTGGAGCGGAGAAAAACAGAGATTGATAATATAAATAACATCTGATGTTGCTACGGCGACGTCGAGAAAGTCAAACATAGTAACATGACGGTGATGTTACACGAGCCAAATAGTAGTTAAAACTCGATGTCGCGTAACATGGCGCTCAGGGCGACTTTCAACGCAACATTTCGTTGCAGTAACATGTTGCAAGTTTTTGAAAGCGATTCAAAAACCTGCAACATGGTTGCCCAAGTTCCAATGTTGCGCCGCTAAAAATCGGATCGTGTAACATCACCCTAACACGAAGTTCAATTTTTCGCGCAACAATGTCACGCGGGAAATCATCGTTCCGAGTTGTTTCTCGTAACACCCCCTTAGAGTCAACAATACAAACAATGTCCCGCCAATTTCTAACAAGGATTAAACAAACCATCAAAAACTCTAGGTAATTCACGCAAGCGCTGACACGGGGACAGGACGACACACTTTCGATTTGTAATTGATTTCTTTTCTCACCGTAAGTCTGATCACCAATCATCTGCAAGGTGGCAGCAGCCGTGGTCTCAGTCTGACCGTAACCTTCAAACACCTGACGAAAAAAGACGAATGGATTGAGCAATGTTGACAAATAATTTTGTTTTTACTTCAATCAGTTTACTGAAAAAGTAACGAAATGTAGCAGGGACGCTTAAAGAAGCTCAGTCACGGTTTTTTGAGTTATTTTGACCACGTACAAAATTACCTTTAAATTGAAGGAAACCTGAAAATAATAGTTTACTAAGATAGAAAAACACTAAAGAGATAATAATAAACCATAAAGGAACAAGGATGGTTAAGGATGGAGAAGATTGACACAGATTACCAACGACGATCTTCAAAAATTTAGGCTAAACTTATCACGATGCGCAAACTTTGACGTAGCTCCTTTAATTTTGAAGCCTCGGTTTTGTATCTGGGCTAAGCAGAAAATTTTGACCTTTTGAAATAAAATAATTATGCGATTCAGACCCACAGTAGAGTGTTCACAACATGTATTTCTTTGTAGCATTTTTTTTTCTTCTTAGTAACAAGAAACTGTACAAAATATCGGAGGGATCAAGAGATAGGATGTATTTAGTTGGAAATCCTGAGTGTTTTACTCTTACGATTTTTTATTTCGTAACTACCTGACAACCAAGGGCGCATCGCAGGAAGATCATAACATCATCGCGGAGTGGAGCAGAACCAGAGATGAGGAATCGAACCCTTCCGCCAAGTGAATTCTGCAAAATAACAATGATCTCGGTAATCCAGTTTTGAACTTGCTGAGGGTCTCGAACGATTTATAGATAGAGATCAACCAGTGGACATTTTCGGGAAGGAAAACAGCAATGAAGAAATTAATGAGAATCATGCGCGTGCTGAATAATAAAATGAACAATGATAGGGCAGATGGCCATTGCTATAGGTTTGCCTGGATTTAACGATCTTGGACGTTCGTTGACCCTATTTTTCTTTCGATGGATCATTTCCTCTACCGATTTTCTACGTTAAACGAAAAAACGAAGAAAATCTATCGATTTGAAGTTTCAATTTTTGCAACATGCACCATCGAATTCCGTTCTTTCTAGCTCTTCGTTTATCTATGCTTAACTCGTTATCTGACTGTAGTAAAAATCTAAAAAAAATCTATCGACTGGAAAATTTTCGCGCGAACGTCATTAACCTCGTGTGAAAACGCTCTATAGTTGAACAACGTTCAGCTTTTAATAAAAACCTAGTCATCACCAACCTGGATTTTTCTGAACACTAGATAATCCCAGATGCTGTCCTTCCGTACAATATTTCTACAAAGAAATGAAATTAATGAATTATTTGTAGACAAGTCAACGTAAAAAGAGAGGAACTTAGGCCAACATACCTGTCTAGTTCTGCCTTCTTGGAGCGCATGGCCATGTTAAAAAGAAAATTCTTAATCGGACTGGATGAAACCTGTTTTATAACCTAAAAAAAACAATGACAAGAAGAACGTTAAGGCCGTCACACAGTAAGGGGGGTGCTGTGGGCACGTGAACCGGGGCCAAGGTCGACCGATCGATCACTCAACACTTTAGTTTAACACGTTGCGCCTAAGAGTTAACTAAACTCGATCAAAACACTATTAACAATAAACATTCAGTTATGCACAGTACAAATCTGAATATTATTGATAGGCCTGTAAATATACAGTCAAAGGTCTACAGTTCTCAATTTACTACTAAAACTAGCAACATTGCTAGCCTACGAACAGGCTCCCGGCGAGGACGGAAAAAAATTTCGCCGAGCGCGAAACAGAAAAATTCGGAGAGCGAAGCCATCGGGGCGGGACAGGCTGCGAACAGGCTCCCGGTGAGCTCCCGCCCCGACCGCTCTGCTCTCCGAATTCTTCTGTTTCGCACTAGCCGAAATTTTTTTCTGTCCTCGCCGGGAGCCTGTTCGCAGGCTACAACATTGCTGGTCAGTTTCAGTATTGTGGACAATCTATTCCAGAGCTGTGTGCAAATGTAGGTAAACAAGTTCTTCATAAACTTTAAATGAAATCTGGGTAAACATAAATTGACGCATACACACAAAAATGTGTTGTAGCTTCAGGAGACGGTTTGCAAGAGCCGTGCACAAGATGTACCGTTGGCAATTCAGGTCATGTTGTCCCTGCAGCACGACACACGAAAACAAACCAGCTGGATTTTAGGAAACATGTTGGGGGAACAGGAATTGCGGAACAGTTTGCCGTAAAACACAAATAATGCCAAGCGAAATACTTTCAGTGGGCAGTGCTCTTACTATTAAAAATGCACTGAATCACTGTATGCTTAAGTCAGACAAATAAAGCTGGAATATGAAGAAAACAAACTCACTCTATCATACACTCTGTTTAACACTCGAGGAACCGAGATGAAAATAGTTGGTCTGAAAGAGGATAAAAATAAGAGGGCAATTAACATCAATAACAAGTTCAGTTTTCTTGGTAACGTTATCCTGCATGAGGCGCAAACTTACTTAAGAGCTTGCAGGTCTTCTAGAATGTTCCTTGCATTGCCACCAAAGAATCCTACTTTACCACCANTGGAACATAATCACCCATGAACAATAGAGTACTACAAAAACAGTTTTGCTGAATAATCGTACTCAAATTCACAATCAGCCAAACTGAAGCCTGTCCAGGTATCATGTGATATCATGTCCGGCCATCGCATGATAAAAACCTGATCGTTCCAAGCCTGCGAGCAGGCTCTTCGTTTTTCAAGTTTTTCCAAATATAATCCATTTACGGTGCAGTTTTTTCTGGACCAAACCAAGCATTTTCAATCAGATTTTTGGTATGATCCAGAAAAATCTGTACCGAGACAGTTTAATCTTCTCCAGTTTTGCCCATCCAGGCCCCTCTTTGTCATTTCTCTGTTTCGTTTGATTTTTCTACAGTTTTCAGCGGTCATTGTGATATTTCAGTTTATTCTGTGACTAATTCATCAGTTCTAAAATTGCCTAAGACTGAATGACCTAGCCCCTTTAATAGACCTAAATCAACACCTGGGTTCCTGAAAAAGGTAACTTCTCTTCTACATTTTATAGCAGATTCAAACGGAACAGTTCACTGACCTGAGCAAGTCGCTCGTACATGTGAGCCAAGGGAAGATACGATATGTGAACATCTTCTTCACTAATAATTATTCCACACTACGAAATAAGGAAAGAGGCTGTCACGAAAAACCACATAAATAAAAAAAAAATCCCTGAAAACATAAAACCATATCTTCACCTTACTTACGACATGCGCATTTTAAGGGGCTCAAGAACTTCAAGTTGATAACAGCCAAATTTTTCCTTGTAGGTCTGGACTTGTTATTCAACCAAAGTCTTGCAATAAAGTGTTCTGGGACAACATGCTCTCATGGGTTATAATACGTGTCAATAAAAAAAAAAATTGTATGTTGTATGCACTAAAAAGCATGAAGTCTCATCAGTTGAACACAACCCTGTCAGTACATGTACATGTAATTACCATACCTCTTGAACAAGATACACAAGACCAGACAGCATTGCAATCGCATTTTTATGAGTGATCATGGCTCCTTTGGGATTCCCTGTTCAAAGCAAAAACTAATTCAACCAGCTACTATGCAAGGGAACGCACTGGGATACTTTTAAGGGTGTCAACATGAGATTTAGAGGTTCATTAGTGCTGGCTGAGATCACCGAGGTATGTTCTTGGCAGGTACTTTACACTCACAATGCCTGTCTTCATGTACACTGGACCTAACTGCAGAATACTTTACCTAACTGCTTGAAGACAACTAATTCTGCAGCTGCTTTCAAGAAGTTAACAAGGAGGGGACCTTGACAAGTATCAATTCTTAGCTTGACAACATGTCCTGCAATTCTTAACCTATGCTCAGCTGGTAAATTAATGTTNGGCACTTTTAGAGCACTGCCCTGGGGGTGGGGGGACGTAAATCCTGTAATCCTACAATGTAGTATCTCGTATAGCTGCTCTTGCTACTAAAACTACAGTTGCAAACAACATCCTTCAAGACAAATAATTCAGCTCAGGAAAAGTTATCAGATGAGTGGTTTTAGTTGCTCAGTACATAACTGGTAAAAAGCAGTTTTGCATGAGTTACCTTGGTTGATGATGTAGGCACATGATTCTGGGCCAAGCGTATCATACAACGGAACAATGGTCATGGAATACATGTTGCAGGCTTGCTCCACAAGCACCCACTGAAAAAAAGAAAAAAAAGAAAAAACAACTTACAACAACTATGGAATTAGCAACCACACCATCTAAAATCATATTTGAAAATAACTTTCTCAAACTCAGTAACAATCAGGCTCTTAGCCAGAATTTGAAAAGTGGCCATCCAAAATGTGCTACAGGGCCTGCTCAAATGGGCAATTTATCAAGCAACATATGAAAAATAAAACAATTTTGTGTAGAAGGTGGCCGTCCACAGGATGCCTGCACACCCATCTAGCTAAAAGCCTGGTAACAATTCATCAAGTTTAAACAAAGAAAATCACAACCGTGACAGTCACAGTGCTTGGATATCTGACCTTATTAGCATAGATTTTTATGATATCATTCTATTTCTCCATTTGCTCCTTAGTTTTATTTTGATTGAGAAGATCTATCAAACACTTGAGACCTTGTTTGACCAAATTACCAAACACTTCCAAGTTCATCAAAAATACTCTGCTGTACATTGTATTTTCAACTCTCTTCTCGGTGCTTTGAAATATTGTCAAACATAGTCTTTCATGTTTGATATTTATATATTAAGCTTCCTAAAACGACTTCAAAAAAGTCCAGTTAAAAGTTGTGAATTAATATTAAAATGGTTTAATTCCAGCAGACGGCCATTTTGGCTTTTGGCAATGTTAAGTTCGATTTCCCCCCGCTCCCTCAGGTCTGGTCACATGGTAACATTTCCCAAAAGAGCAGCTGGCAATCGAGCCTAGGCAATATTTCTCTTCTCAACCTATTCCCTATGCAGGGAAAAGGAAATCTGTTAAGAATGATGATACACTTGACTGATGAGTCATACAAAAAGCACCTGTTTGTCAATAGCAAAATGAAGAAAATGCAAATGTTAAATTACAGTGTGTACATAACAACATATCAACACTAATAACCAAACAAATAACCACCTCAATTTTATTTGGAGCATAAACACCAACAAACACATGGCCACCGTCAGCTGGCTCATTACCA